ATCCTACAACAAATAATTCTCTAGTGCCAAAAGTCAAAGTCGACAGGACTGAAGTTGGAAAACCCTGTTCCAAAGAGCTTCAAAGGCAATAATTTGGGAAATCAGGAGACCTTTGTCCCCTTCGTGAGAGCAGTGTGAGTGGTTTCTGCCCTGGGCTGATAAATGGTTGGGGAAGCAGGAAGCGAAGTCTTTCAGTGGGAAATTTTCTCTTACAGTTTCTGGTAGTGTCTGGTGTGAGATAAGGGAGAAACACCAGAAGGGAGGCAGGGTTAAGAAGTTTTTTTAGGAAGGATAATTGGTGGTAGAATTTAAAAATATTTGGATCAATTGAAATTTTCATTTTCCTTTAGACATTTGATGCCTTTGAAGCCCTAACCTAAGCCACGGTGGCAATGATACCATGTTGTTGAAAGATCTTTACAGTTTTTACACATTAAAAAGGGGAGAAAATAATGCTACTTATTTTTGGTCATGTCTTCACAATCGCAAATATTTAGCAAAAGAAAAGAAGTGCCTTTATGTTGAAAGTTGGATTCTCATAATTAATTATTTTTTTGAAATTACTGTCGCCCTATAAAGTTGTATTGCATTTTTCTATGTGAATATCTACAGGATTAAAATTAGTTTAACAGTCTTTCATTTATTAAATACAGACACCCCTTGAGTTATACTTCTTATACCATGAGTGACTAGCCAGTCATTACATCTAGAAGAAAAGTTCCTCCCAGTGTCCTTCTGTTTGAGAAATGGGAGTTTTCCATTACAGAGTGAGAGAGAGAAAGAGAGAGTAAATGTCATTACTGTTGGAATTGTCTTTATTATTATTATTATCATTATTTTTAAGGAGCATGGAACAGTTGTTTTGCCTCAGTTGAGAAATCAAAGAGCCCCGTGGCTGAACGGATAGTTCTTTCCTTGCTAGAAAACTCAGCAGAGGCTGTGGTTGGAGGTAGGATGAAATTTTTTTTTTTTAATTAGTTGGTAATCAGATGCCATAGCTGGAAGATGGGGTCTCTCTTTTCATTGGACAGCTATTAGCTGCTGCAACCAGCTGGGATAAGTCCACTTTTTTTTTTTTCCTAAGTGGAAACGGCTAAGGCCAAAGCTATAGATAGGTGATATCCTGAAATCAACAGTTCTGAGTGAGAATTCAGCTGAAACATATAGTATGTTTTCGTATAGATTATGAAGGATTTTATGGGGTTACCTAGAAAACAAACCACAATTTATAGCATGATTTTCATAAGATATATTCCAAGTTCCAAACAAACTATAATTATTTTGGATCCTAATACCTCTGGGTTAGTCACTTGCTTTATGAGGCAAGCTTTCTTCTAAAATCATTACAGTGGTGAGTTTCAATTTTCTTCTTTTTCTAGATTCACTTTTCTATGTGTCTTAAGTGTAATGATGGGAGTCTAAACTTTATAAAATGGAAAAAGTTTTAACAATGGTTGGGGAATTAATGTGTCTCTGTTGGGGCACAAGAGGGGATTCTTCCTATAGATTTATTTGCATACCAGAGGCTGTCTCTACTGAACAATTTTTTGAAAGAGATCTGCTCCGAAGGAGAAAATAACTTGTCTTTATGTAGTCTGAGGATAGTGGGTCTGGGAAACTGCTAACCTAAATTTTCCCCAGCAGAACCTTTTACAAAATTGAGTTACTACCCAAGTTCAAAATGAAATCTTTTGTTCTACTTATGTATAATTGAAACTACCCTGGTATTTTACCTAATTTGTACATACATGTATTGTAACAATATTTTGCCTAACTGATGAACATTTGACTTTATTTTGAACTGCCACAAGGAAACTGACCTTGGCTTGTGAAGTTGACATACAAATCATCAAGAATGTCCCTGAACATTTTCTCTCAAGATGAAGAAAACATGCAGAAGGGAGGGGCAAGATTCCTCTTTACTCTGAATCTGTTGAGTTCCATTTTCAAGTTTATCCAAGGCTGTGCTTTGAACAGGCTGTCTACAGGAAACCAGAGTAAGAATGTGACTTAGAAAGCCTTCTGCAATTACTGAAGAAATTTCATTCCTATCTTCAAGTGTCCCAGAAAAACTGCTGATCATCAAGCAAGGTTGGTATCAATCAGGCAAAGTATATGCCTTTCTGAAAATGACTGTTTCTTCACTGAACAAAAACTTAATTTTTCTAGCCAAACAGGAAGTTTCTAATAAGAATTCCATATTTCAATGATGTCATCATATTTTTAATAAATGGTTTCAACATTGGATTGCTAAGTAGTATTACATAAATATTGTTGCTAATTTTTCTTTCCTATGTATTTTTCTAAAATACCATTTAAGTTTTATTCAGCACAGGAATACTGGATCAACTATTTTATTGTATTTAAGTGATTAATAGCTTATTCACTAATTACTTAGTCTTGTGGAAACAGTTAATAAACTTACTCTTATGCCTTTTCCAAAGAAAGCATTTTTCCCTCGGAAGGTCCAATTTAGTCATAGTAATCTCAGAGTAATTTCATAATTTGGGGGGGTAATTTTCTTATGTTCTGGGGGTCCCCTAAAAGTAAAAATGCCCCCCAAACACCCCACTTGCATTAGACACAGTATTACTTTTCCTCTTTTCCCCGTCTACTCCTAGCCTAACCTGAACATGCTAGATCCACCATAATTCTGTATGTACCCTGTGGCTTAGAGATAATGGTTAACCCCTCGAGAGACGCTCCCCATGGGGTAGAGTACTCTGATCTGGATATTCAGGCCCTCTTGTAAGAGGAGCAGTCAAGGCTGAACCCCATTATTAACTGACTTGGGAGATGCAGACAGGACAATATCACCTACAGACTTCTGGGATGTGCTTATGAGAGGTGTTCTGATGAGCCTCCTTCGAATGTTCTATCACGCATCAGGATGGCCGGCCTCACAGGGTGTGGTTGAGAGGAAAAGCTCGCAGACAAAGCTAGGTTTGATTATTGCCTCTAAAACTGACTATGTGACTGGGGCCAAGTTTCTTCACCTCGGCAAGCGTCCGCTTCCCTACCCGAAACATTACTTGTCTCCCTGGACTGCTGGGACAATGGAATAAGAGGATTCACGTCTGAAGAAGGAAGCAGGAATGAAGTGTAAGACGCAATCAGTACTTTCGCCGTGGCCGTTGTTGCTGTTGGCTCTCCTCTGGTCTCCAGGTCTGATTTGGGAAACTTGGAGCTTCAGTTGTGCTGACTGGCTCCTCCATGTTGCTCTTTGTGCAGCCAGCCATGGACCCCTCTCTCTCTTCATGGTGGGTGTGTTCTTAATTTTAAAATAATGTCTTCAGTTATTCAGCAACAACATACTTCCTTGACTCCGGCCTGGAGAAGAAGGTAGGTGTTGCTGTTTTGAGGTAGGAGTTGGTGGTAACATGGTGGCACTTATTATATTTACAGCTCAACCTACAGTTCACAGAAATTCAGGTTGTAAATGAGAACACTCCAAGAGCAAAAATATAATAGATTGGAATGTAAATGGCAATATCTGACCATCACCAATTCCTGAGCCTTAAAGTAAAATCCAGATGAAATTTCTAGAACAAAATAAGAGTATAGCTTCTCAAGGAAATGGAGGCAAAACCCTTGATTGCCTTCTAACTAAACAGTTTCTTTGCCTTTAATGGTCTGTTCCCTGAGTAAGTTGATAGGTGATAAAAAGATTTGGAAATAATTATACAAGGAAATATAAGAATAGTTAACTATAGAGTAGATTGATAACTGTTACAGGGCTAAAACCAACTTGGGCATTCAGTTGCTTCCTGGAAACAAAACCACTTAGATAAAACCCAAGAAATGAAAAAATAAAACAAAACAAAAAAACCCCTGATAAACCCATAACACATGCTTTACCACAGGAAGGACTACAAAGTTCTTAATGCTTTTCTCTTGACTATACATACTACTTTCAAAAAATTTTTTTTCAAAATATTTATTTAACATTGAGTATGTGCACTGTGCCACGCACTGAGGATACCAAGATAGATACATCCTTGCCTTGAAAAGGGTCCCAATCTCAAGGACCCGATAGTCACTGACCAAGCAGTAATAACACAATGTACAAGAGAGAGGCGTCTGCAAGGCAGCAAGGAGGGGTTTTGTGTTTGTTTAATCATTATCTTTCCACAAAAGTTTTGATGGGGGCATGGATGGATACATCTTTTGGGGAGGAGAAAAACGTACAGAGTAGCTTCTCAGGGGAAGCAGATTAAACTGGATGAATTGGTTTTTGACAAGCGGTAAACAGTAGGGCATTCTAGGCACAGAGAGCAGCCTGAAGAGCACACAGAGACTGGAAAATCTGTGGCTTATGGAAAGATGATAAGGCAGTTTGGCTATAGCTGAAGTATAGGATGATGCCTAGTAGGGAAAAGCTGGAGAAGCAGGTGAGGACAAATTGTGAAGGGCCAGATCATTGTAGCACTGTGCTAGTTGTGACGGAGAAAAGTGTCTTAATCAGTTCCAGCTGCTATAACAAATTACCATAGGCTGGGGGGCTTAAATGACACTTATTTCTCACAGCCCTGGAGGCTGGAAATCCAAGATCATGGTGCCAGGGTAGTTGGGTTCTGGTAAGAGTCCTTTTCCAGGTTGCAGACAGCTGGCTTCTCACTGTATCCTCACATGGTAGAAAAAGACAGCTCTGGCCTCTTAGTCTTCTTATAAGAGCAATAATCCTATTCACAGGGCTCCAACCTTGTAACCAAATTATCTGCCAAAGGCCCTGCCTCCAAATTGCATCACTTTGGGGATTAGGGTTTAAGTATATGAACTTTGGAGGAACACAAACATTTGTCTATGGCAAACAGAAACTTTGAAACTCCTAATGGTTGTTTTCCACACCCCCCCTTTAGTAGTTCCTTTGATGCTACACTCGAGTAAGGGTGGGGGAGTCATTTCTTCTTTTTTAGGTTATCCCTACAACAGTACCTGGCAAGGGTTGCTCCTCTCTGGGCTGTTTAGTTTTAACTTTACCAGACGTCAATGGCTACCACTATCTCAGTTTCTACCTCTCAGATAATTTTTACTGAGCAAGGAACAGAATCAACAATACTGGCAGCAGGGAGAGGGACCGATGTTATGTAGGCGTACAGGAGTCCGGCTATTTTACCCTACTTCCTGGACTTGAAGAACAAGTCAGTACCAGCTGCCATCTTCCTTTTGGAGCAAAGAGTTGGTAAGGCCTTGTTCTTAGCTCACACTCCCTATTTTTATTGAGGATCTCTTCTGTGCTGTGCACTGAGGACATAGCAGTGAACAACTCAGTGGGCTGCTTCTGGAAAAGCTTTAATCGCAAGGTGCTTTAAGCTTTTTAAGTATTATAGAAGAGACAGTATCCAAATCATATTTGTATCCAAATCTTATTTAAAAAAACAAAAACAAAAAACCCTATGATCACCCTGCATAACACGTTTACAGTATATTGTATCCTGGTCAAACAAAACAAATATTAGCATTATATTGTAATATCCTTGCAAACCGTAAAATAAGAGTCAAAGTGGTTTTTGGAATGGAGTGCTCTTCTAGCTAGTTTCAAATCTTAGAAGTGTTAGCCTGCTGTCTTCCAAAATATAACTTTGTTTTAATAAAATGACTGTCGCTATGGCTAGGCTTAATTCTTTAATGCAGCTTGCTTAAAACTCAAAAAACACCTTATAGTCTCAAGGATCCTATAGAATCCCCATCAGCACATAGCATTGTATAGATGATAAAATAAGCTTTTTAATTTTTCGTAGAGCAAGATTTTTTTTTTTTTTTGATAAATAGGAGTGATCCGTTTTTAATCCCATTCAGTACATTGGCGGGGAATTTAGTAATCAAGACTAAGTTCTCTGCAAGCCTAAATTTAAAGCTCAAAGTGGGGGCAATACAGAAAGAGTGTTTTTGTTTGGCAGAGTTTGTTTTCATCGTACAACCCACAGAAAAGTGAAGTTGGGTAAAATCTCTTATGTTAGGGATCTGAGAAGCCTGTGGTTTTCAGCTAAAAGCAACTCAGAATGGTGGGGGTATGAAGAGGTTGGGGATTTTAGTCATTAAGATGGAACCTGAGTTAAAGTTAAGAAACGTGGTTTCGGACACGATTACTTATTAGTGTAAGACGTCTGCCCTACCCTGTAATGCAGATCAAACTTCAAGGTTGTGCCTAGGAGGGCAAACAAAGAAGGGTATACAGGGCGAGGGGTGAGTTTGGACGCGGGAAAGAGCCAGGGGCAGGCGGGTTTGGGGAGCTGCAGTGATGGGACGAACGCGCTGGGCCGGGCGCCCGGGGGAGACGGGCTTGGAGGGACGGCGGCATCCCGGCAACAATATGCGGTGCGGGCCGAAGCGCCGGCGGAGCGCATTCTCCTTCTGGAAAAGCTGCGCTGGGCGCCGGCCCGGGTCTGTCGAACCCCCGCGGGAAGAGGCGGGAGCCGTAGGGCGAGCGGCCGCGGGCTCCTCCCCCGGCGCCTCCGCTCTCTGGGTCAGGACGCGGCGGGCCGCGGGGCCGAAGGTGGGGACCCGCGGGCTCCGGGCTGCTGTCCGCCGTCCGCCGCTCCGCTCCCGTCCGCCCGGCCGCAGGTCCCGGGTCCCCGTTCTCCGACCGCGGAGAGGCCCGCGCGGCGAACTCAGGTGCGTGCGGAGGTGGGCACTGGGCGGCTCGGCGGGCAGAGGCCCGACGCGCCCGGGGTGCGGAGGGCTGAGGCGGTACTTCCGGCGGCCGCCGCGGCACTTCCGGGTCCCGCGGGCGTTCCCGCCGCCAACTCCCTGCGAGGCATCCTTCCGCCGGCCGGCGCCGCGTTGCGCCCTCCCGGTGGCAGAGTCGGCTGGCGGTGGCTTTCCCGTCCCAGGGCAGCCCTGTCGAGCCGGCATCTGGAAGCTTCAGTCCTGGAGCTCGCAGGTGTTTCCACGCAGGCCGCCCGTCGTGCGTGCTTGGGGAGCTGGCGGTGTGCTGCCGGCCCGGCGGCTCCCTGCAGACCGGAGGAGTTGCAGCCGGAGACACTGGGTCGCCTCATAGCCTCCGCTCCTGGGTCTTACCTTTCAGCCTCCGGCAAACATTTTCGTTGTGTTGTGTTTTGCTCTGACTCCGATCCTCTCCCTATTTTACT